TTTGGAGGGGATAAGCAAATATATTTTGACTAAACATTTATTATGCTCTTTATAACCTTAAAATATCTGCAAGATGTCAGAGCATTCCGTTTTGTAGTTCCTGATTAAATCAATAAAATATATTTACGCATTCATTAATTTTTTTGAGTCACTCTGTATATGCAAATCCAAAAAATATGAATGGAGTGATAAATGACAAGTACAGGCTCATCATATTTTGTACATTTTAGATATGATTTATTCGGCAAACTTTCGAGCTGACGTCATCAAGTTTTTGGAGGGATAAGCAAATATATTTTGACTAAATATTTATTATGCTCTTTATGACCTTAAAACATCTGCAAGATTTCAGAGCATTCGGTTTTGTAGTTCCTGATTAAATCAATAAAATATATTTACGCATTCATTAATTTTTTTGAGTCACCCTGTATATGCAAATCCAAAAAATATGAATGGAGTGATAGATCACAAGTACAGACTCATCATATTTTGTACATTTTAGATATGATTTATTCCACAAACTTTTGAGCTGACGTCATCAAGTTTTTGGAGGGGATAAGCAAATATTTTTTGACTAAAGATTTATGATGCTCTTTATAGCCTTAAAATATCTGCAACATTTCAAAGCATTCTGGTTAGCAGATTAAAAATTAAATTTCAAAATGTTGTTTTATAATTTTGATTTTTTTTCCAAAAATCTGGACGTTTCGGGTGAAAAGTCGATTCAGAGTTGTAAACTACATGTGTAGGACTATGTTATTTTATACAATTGAAAACCCATTTACTATGTACAATTTTGAAGTGACGTCATCGCATTAGTGGTGGGGATGATTAGACAAATTTTGGTTAGCGTTTTACCATCTACATGATATTCTTAATATAAGTACAAAATTTCACAACAATCGGTCGAGTACTTTTGGAGATTATCTGTCTAATAAAATCCGGGACAACAGACGGACAGACGGACGGACAGACAGACGGAAATTGGAGACCTATTTCTTCGTCTTCTAGGGGTCATGAAAGATCGAGAAAACGTAAAAGTAGAGAGTCGGCCGACGGACTCGATTACAATACTTCCTTTGCTTACGCTCGGGACGTAAAAATTGGAAAATCTAAAAATTGACGAATATAAAAAATTGGAAAAATCACAAATCGAAAGTTAGTAAGATTGAAAATTCCAGTTTCGAAATTCAAAAACTCGAGAAATAAAAAAATCGGAAAGTAAAAAATTGAAAATTCGAATATCCAAAAATCCAAAATGAAAAAAAAAATTAAAATCGAAGAATGGAAAAATTAAAAATCGAATTTTTAAAAATCAAAATCGAAAATTTGACAAATGGAAAATTCAAAAATCGAACATTTGAAAAATTGAAGAATTGAGAAATCAAAAAGAAAACAAATTGAATATTCGAGTATGGAAAAATTGAAAATTCAATTATACCAAAAAATAAAAATTCGATAAATCCGAAAGCCTAAAATTCGAAAAACTAAAAATTGAAAATTAAAAAACCGAAAAATCGGAAACTAAAATCGAACATTCGAAGTCAAAAATCAAAGAATCGAGAAGTAAAAAACTTGAAAAATCGAAAAACTCAAGAACTGAATTGAAAATGTGAGATATCGAAAAGAACAAAAAACTGGAAAATGTAAAAATTGACGAATATAAAAAATTGGAAAAATCACAGATCGAAAGTTAGTAAGATTGAAAATTCCAGTTTCGAAATTCAAAAACTCGAGAAATAAAAAAATCGGAAAGTAAAAAATTGAAAATTCGAATATCCACAAATCCAAAATAAAAAAAATCTAAAAATCGAAGAATGGAAAAATTATAAATCGGATTTTTAAAAATCAAAATCGAAAATTTGACAAATGGAAAATTCAAAAATCGAAAATTTGAAAAATTGAAGAATTGAGAAATCAAAAAGGAAACAAATTGAATATTCGAGTATGGAAAAATTGAAAATTCAATTATACCAAAAGACAAAAATTCGATAAATCCGAAAGCCTAAAATTCGAAAAACTAAAAATTGAAATTTAAAAAACCGAAAAATCAGAAACTGTAAAATCGAATATTCGAAGTCAAAAATCAAAGAATCGTGAAGTAAAAAACTTGAAAAATCGGAAAACTCAAGAACTGAATTGAAAATGTGAGATATCGAAAAGAACAAAAAACTGGAAAATCTAAAAACTGACGAATATAAAAAATTGGAAAAATCACAGATCGAAAGTTAGTGAAAGATTGAAAATTCCAGTTTCGAAATTCAAAAACTCGAGAAATAAAAAAATCGGAAAGAAAAAAAATTGAAATTTCGAATATCCAAAAATCCAAAATAAAAAAAATCTAAAAATCGAAGAATTGAAAAATTAAAAATCGGATTTTTAAAAATCAAAATCGAAAATTTGACAAATGGAAAATTCAAAAATCGAAAATTTGAAAAATTGAAGAAATGAGAAATCAAAAAGAAAACAAATCGAATATTCGAGTATGGAACAATTGAAAATTCAATTATACCAAAAAACAAAAATTCGATAAATCCGAAAGCCTAAAATTCGAAAAACTAAAAATTGAAAATTAAAAAACCGAAAAATCGGAAACTGTAAAATCGAACATTCGAAGTCAAAAATCAAAGAATCGAGAAGTAAAAAACTTGAAAAATCGAAAAACTCAAGAACGGAATTGAAAATTTGAGATATCGAAAAGAAAAAAAAATTGGAAAATCTAAAAATTGACGAATATAAAAAATTGGAACAATCACAGATCGAAAGTTAGTAAGATTGAAAATTCCAGTTTCGAAATTGAAAAACTCGAGAAATAAAAAAATCGGAAAGTAAAAAATTGAAAATTCGAATATCCAAAAATCCAAAATGAAAAAAAATTTTAAAATCGAATAATGGAAAAATTAAAAATCGAATTTTTAAAAATCAAAATCGAAAATTTGACAAAAATGGAAAATTCAAAAATCGAAAATTTGAAAAATTGAAGAATTGAGAAATCAAAAAGGAAACAAATTGAATATTCGAGTATGGAAAAATTGAAAATTCAATTATACCAAAAAACAAAAATTCGATAAATCCAAAAGCCTAAAATTCGAAAAACTAAAAATTGAAAATTAAAAAACCGGAAAATCGGAAACTGTAAAATCGAACATTCGAAGTCAAAAATCAAAGAATCGAGAAGTAAAAAACTTGAAAAATCGAAAAACTCAAGAACGGAATTGAAAATTTGAGATATCGAAAAGAAAAAAAATTGGAAAATCTAAAAATTGTCGAATATAAAAAATTGGAAAAATCACATATCGAAAGTTAGTAAGATTGAAAATTCCAGTTTCGAAATTCAAAAACTCGAGAAATAAAAAAATCGGAAAGTAAAAAATTGAAAATTCGAATATACAAAAATCCAAAATTAAAAAAAATCTAAAAATCGAAGACTTTAGAATTAGGAAAATTCTATAACTGAAACATCGAAAAACCTATATATCAAAAAAAAGAAACAGTAAATTCAAAATATCGAAAAATAGAGAAATCTGAAAATCGAAGGGTCGAGAAAAGTCGAAAAATCAAAAAATTATTCGAGGAATTGAAAATTTAAAAACGCCATAAATTGAAACATTGAAAAATCGAAAAATTTAAAAATCCAAGAATTTAAAAATTTCAAAAATGAAATATCAAAAAATTGACAATCGAGAGACTGAAAAACAGGGAAAATAAAAAAAAATTAAATAATCCCAGAACTGAGATATTGAAAAATTGAAAAATCAAAAGATCGAGAAGCAAAAAAATTGATCAATCGATAAATCAAAAAATAATAAAATCGAAGAAAAATTGAAGAATAAAAAAATTTAGGAAAATTCTATAACTAAAACATCGAAAAATCGATATATCAGAAAAAAAAAATCGTAAAATCTAAAAATTGGAAAGTTGAAAAATCAAAAACCTGAAAAATCGAAAAATTGAAGAATTGAAAATCTGAAAGTTGGACAATCGAGAAGTCGAGAGAGGGAAACATCCGAAAATCGAGACATCGAGAAATGGTCAAAAACCTGATAAATCGAAAAATTGAAGAATTGAAAATCTGAAAATTGAAAAATCGAGAAGTCGAGAGAGCGAAACATCCGAAAATCGAGAAATCGAGAAATGGTAAATTCAAAATACCGAAAAATAGAAAAATCTGAAAATCGAAGTCGAGAAAAGTCGAAAAATCAAAAAATTATTCGAGAAATCGAAAATTTAAAAACGCCAAAAATTGAAACATTGAAAAATCGAAAAATTTAAAAATCCAAAAATTTAAAAATTCCAAAAATGAAACATCGAAAAATTGACAATCGAGAAACTGAAAAACAGGAAAAATTAAATAATCCCAAAACTGAGATATTGAAAAATTGAAAAATCAAAAGATGGAGAAGCAAAAAAATTGAAAATTCCAAAAATTGAGAAAGAAAATTGTAAAATTTTGAAAATGTCGATGTCGACGACAAAAATTCAACAGGGATTCATGTTACTTTTTAAGATTTAAGTAACATTTATTCGAGAAAATTCTAAGCTGACATCAATTCTGAAGGGGGTTCATGAATTCATTGACGAATAAATTTTGGTTAACAATTTGCAATCCTTACGACAACCTTAAAACATTTGCAAGATTTCAGAGCATTCCCTTTTGCAGGTTTAAAGTTGAATTGGAAAATGTCCACAAACCTCAAATGTAGAAGTATCTTATTTTATAAAATTTAAATCACATTTACTGATAAAAAATTTTGGAGATGACGTCCGTAAGTAAAAATTGGGTTTGATTGTCACAAAATCTCCTAAACTATTTGCATAATTTTCGTTACACATTTTTTAAATGTACCAACTAATTTTAGTAGCGATTTAATTCTAGTTTTTCACCACAATTGTGAAACTCTTGAAAGCGTTTGAACAAATTTATTCATTTTAACTATACTAAAGTCCATAACTACAAATTGCCAGTATGTACCTACTACTTCAGAAATCTTGAGTGATTGTTCTCATCAATTGAAAAATCACGATTTTTAACTCGTCGCTGCCACCTACATATAAATTATAATTATCGCGCCTATAAATAACCGATTCAGGAAGCTTTCATATCGCTGCCACTCTTAATTTACCTAATATCACTCTTAAAATACACTCGCCATAAATCACTCCACCTGACTCCCTCGTCTTCGATCTCCTCAACCTGCAAATCTCTCCTCGTGTACAAACAACGCACCGATGCCTCATCACGATCCATCTCATGCCAATTAAAATACTCCCATCACGCTGCCACCTAGTGCTCCTAATCCGTCTAAGCCGCGTCCTTGACGCATATATCACGCTGATAACGACTGTTTTCATTTGCACCTGCGGCGGCGGTCCTTGGCGATCGACTTTATCACATGGACGTAATTTTCCTGCCAAGAAATGCGTGGGCACCAATTATTGATTCAATACTTCGCATGTGGTCAGTACTTGACAGGGCGAGGGTGTGATGTGATGGTCTAGGACATGGTCGACCAAGGCTACGATTCCATGGAAGACGCAAGTGGTAATGATGTGGTTTATCTGTTGTGTTACCGCGAATCGTGAGGACAAGGTCGTTGCAGGAACTTTGATACTAAAGGAGTTCCTGCGGAGATGGTTTATTTTTGGTTTGTGTTTGTTTGAAAGACAAGAAAAATATTGATGTTGTTTTAGATAGTTGGATGATAAAGAGGATGATTTATAAGTTTATTATGCCGGAGATGTGGTGGGGTTTACGATACGGTTGATTTTTGCGGCGGGCGTAATTGGTTCGTGGGTACTGGTGGTACCGGGAGCAGGCGGAACGACTTAAGTACCATGTGAATGGTTATTTTTATTGTTGTTGTTATTGTGATTTCGCTAGGTTTGACGCTACTGGTGTTAGATTTAGCTAAACCGTCAGAACAAAGGAAGTTATTTTTGTTTATCTTTTGTATACTCAAAAATTAAATAAGGTTCATTGTTATGTCACAATTGAATGAATGGGGTTGTAAACAGTCGGAAAATTTCCTTCAAAAGCCGGCTACAACTACACTATGATTGTCAGTTCTGTTTTTTCTTCACTTGTACTTCAGTGTTTAATGGTATGAAGTTATATCCACTTAACGAAGGTATAGTAAAAATAAATAGTTCGATTTAGTTACAGCTCGCTCATAAATACAAGTTAAATACTTGTTCGACGAAACAATAAAATCATTTATTCGTGTTTAAACGTGGTCGTAAACTACTACCTAGAAACATCTAAGTACTAAATTGAAACTTGATTTTAAAATATGCTTAGTTTAATTTTATTGTGTTATTTGTTAGTGGGATATAAATGACAAATTTCTTGTGTGGAAAATTTAACGAAAAAAGTGTTAGGAAATTATATTGTCTCGTTAGAGTTTGCTAGTTTTTTTTATCGATATGTGGTCATGAAGCGTGTGCAGTTGAAGTTGGCCATGGTCTGTGACATTTATATTTTACAAAGAATTTGTAAAAATATATTTCACACGTTTTCAGTCCCCAAAGGGTCAAATTTTGGGAAATCTCTTTGTGTATCTACGTCAAAGGGAAAACTACTCTTAAAAATTCAGGTTTCTAGGTGTAGGGATTTTAAAAAAATTATTTCAGCCCTTTTTACTTTTTTATTTTGGAGAAATTCCTTTTAAGGGTTGCTTACGCCGTAAGGGGAAGCCACCCTTAAACTTTCAGGTTTCCAGAGTTTGTCTAATCACTTTTATATATAAAAATTAATGGCACAATTAATTTTGAAATTCAAAGATATTTCAATTTTTGTAAGTGTATAGTGGCAAAATCGGCTGCGATTCTAAAATTTAAAAACCAAAACACGAAAAATCGAGAAATCAAAACTCCTAAATTTAAAAAATCGAAAAATCGAATATCCAAAAAGTAAAGATCGAAAAATCAAAAGATCGAGAAATCCAGAAGCCGAAAAATTAAAAATTGAAAAATTGATAAATCGGGAAATTGAACAATCAAAACATTGAAACATTCAAATCTCGATAAATCGAGAAATAAAAAAAATTAAAAATTCGAAGAATTAAAATATTGAGAAATCGAAAGATCAAAAGATCGAAAAATCGAAAAATTGAGATACCGAAGTAGACCAACATCGAAAAAACAAAATGTTAAAAGTTGAAAAAATGGAAAATCGAAAAATCTAAAAGCGGAAAAATGAAAAAACGAAAAATCGGAATATTGGAAAAACAGAAACCGAAATAGGCCAAAATAAACAACCGAAACGTTAAAAATTGAGAAACTCATAAATCGAGAAACTTGACAATCGAAATATCGAATCATCCAAATCTCGATAAGTCGGGAAATCAAAATATTGAAAAATCGAAAAATTTAAACAACGATAAATTAAAAAAACAAAAAATTCAAAAACCGAAAATCTAAAACCAGGAAGTCGAAAAATCTAATATTTTAAAAATTGAAAATTTAAAATATCCAAAAATTGATAAATCTAAAATTTAAAAATCGAAAAATTGAAAAATCAAAAACCTGAAAAACCGAAGAATTGAAGAACAATCGAAACAGTCGAAAGTCAAGAAATGGGAAAATCAAAACATCGATTAATTGAAAAATCGAAAAACTCAGAGCTTAGAAAAGTCAAAAATCCAAAATTGAAAAATGTAAAATTTAAAAAATCGAAAAATTGAAAAATAGATATGTCGGGGAATTGAAAATCGAAAAATCAAAATATCAAAAAATCGAAAAAATTAAAAATACAAAAATTTAAAATTTAAAAACCGAAAAACGAAAAATCGAGAAATCAACACTACTCAATTCAAAAATTGAAAAATTAAAAATTCGAAAGACCGAAATAGGCTAAAATCGAAAAGTTAATAATTGAGAAATTGATAAATCGAGAAATTGAATAGTGAAAACATTGAAACATCCAAATCTCTATAAATCGGGAAATCAGAAAATTTAAAAATTCTAAAAATTGAAAAATTGAAATATTGAGAAGTCGAAAGAAAATCAAAAGATCGAGAAATCGAAAAAATGGAAAAACTGAGAAACCGAAATAGGCCAAAATCAAAAATCGAAACGTTATACATTGAAAAACTCAAATCGAGAAACTTAACAATCAAAATATCGAAACATCCAAATCTCGATAAATCGGGATATCAAAACATTGAAAAAATCGAAACATTTAAAAAAATAAAAATTAAATAAAAAACAGAAAATCTAAAACCAGGAAGCCGAAAAATCGAAAACTTGAAAAATTGAAATATCGAAAAACTCAAATGAAAAATCGAGAAATAAAAAACTGAAAATTTTAAAACTTGAAAAATAAAAATATCGAAAAATTGATAAATCTAAAATTTAAAAATCGAAAAATTTAAAAATGTAAAAAGTAAAAAATCGACACATCGAAAAATCCAGAAGTCAAAAATCGAAAAGTCGAAGAATTGGGAAATCGAAAAATCAAAAAAGTGAAGTCGAAAAATCCAAACCTTCAAAAAAATCGAAAATTTGAAGAATCAAAAACCAGAAAAGTCGAAAAATTGAGGAATTGAAGAACAGGAAAATCTAAACAGTCGAAAGTCAAGAAATGCGAAAATCAAAACATCGATTAATTGAAAAATCGAAAAATTGAGAATTTAGAAAAGTCAAAAATTGAAAAATTGAAAAATCTAAATATTTAAAAATCGTAAAATTAAAGAAAAATAAAGACAAACATTGAACAACGTTAAGCTGAAACATCGGAAAATTGGGCAATGGAAAAATTGAAAATCGAGAAGCTGAAAAATTGAGAAATTGTAAAATCAAAAAATTGAATTAATAGTTCATCTGAAAAATCCCAAAACTGAAATTTCGAGAAACTTTAAAAATGAAAGAAAAGCTGAAAAACCTCAAAACTGAAGTATCCATCCAAAAACTGAAAAATTGAAAAATCAAAAAGTCAAAAGAGTGAAGTCGAAAAATCAAAACCTTAAAAAATTGAAAAATTGAAAAATCATAAACTTAAAAATTTGAAGAATGAAAAAAAAATCGAAAAACTGAGTCTATAAAAGTCAAAATTGAAAAATTGCGAAAATCAAATACTTAAAAATCGTTAAATTGAAGAGGAGAAATTTGGAAGAACGTAAAATTGAAACATCTGAAAACTGAGAAATCACTAAAGTGAAGTCAAAAAATGAAAATCTTAAATAATTGAAAAATTGAAAAATCAAAAACCTAAAAACTTGCAGAATTGAAGAAATGAAAAATCGAAAATTTGAAAGTTTATAAAAGTCAAATTTGAAAAATTGCAAAAAGCAAATATTAAAAATCGTAAAATTGAAGAGGAGAAAAATAGGAAGAACGTAGAATTGAAACAAAGGAAAATACAGAAATCAAAAAACTGAAAATTGAGAAATTGTAAAATCGAAAAATTTAAAAATTAAAGAAAACTGAGAAATCCCAAAAACTGAGCATCTAAAAGATTGAAAAATTGAAAAATTAAAAAATTAAAAAAGTGAAGTCGAAAAATCGAATCCTTAAAAAAATCGAAAAATTGAAAAATCAAAAAACTGAAAAATCGAAAAATTGAAGAATTTAGAAAAGTAAAAATTGAAAAATTGAAAAAACGTAAAACTGAAACATCGGAAAATTAGGAAATCGAAAAATTGAAAATCGAGAAATTGAGAAATTGTAAAATCGAAGAATTGAGAAATTGTAAAATCGAAAAATTGAATAATGAACAATCTCAAAAATCTCAAAACTGAAATTTCGAAAAATTGAAAAAATAAAGAAAAGCCGTAGAATGAAAAAACTGAAAAAACTGAAAAATCCAAAAACTGAGAAATTAAAAATCTGAAGAATTGAGAAATCAAAAAGTCAGAAAAGTGAAGTCGAAAAATTGAAGAATCGAAGAAATTCAAAATCGAAAAAGTGAGAGTTTATGAAAGTTAAATTTGAAAAATTGCAACAACCAAAGATTTAATAATTGTAAAACTGAAGAGGAGAAGAATTAGAAAAAGGTAAAATTGAAATATCGGGAAATTGAGAAATCGAAAACTTGAATAATAAATAAGCTGAAAAATCCCAGAAATGGAATTTCGAAAAATTGAAAAACGTAAGAAACACTGAAAAATCCCAAAATTGAAACCTCCAAAAACTGAGAAATTAAAAAATTGAAAAATCCAAATATTTAAAAATCGTAAAATCGAAGGGAAGAAAAACTGCAAAAACTTTAATATAAAAAATAAATAAAAATTCAAAAGATAAAAATAACTACACTTTTCCGAAAAAAATCTATTGCAAGATAACAATTCCAACAGTATTGTTAATTTGCGGAATTTTGCTAGTACCAAACGTAATTAAAGAATTATTTCTTAATTAAACAAAAAATAGTTGCATGTCAATAATTAACACATGCACCTAGCAAAATGTTGATTTATTCGTTGTGAAGTGCGACCAAGCAATTCTTTCCCGTAGAAATTATGGTCGAAACCGGTTAGCATGTGTGTCAGATCACGGAACATGGCTCATAGATTTAATCGTTTCTTAACGCTTAGAGTCGACATTAGCCTGAGTGCACTCTGGTCTGTAGATCAAATAAGTTATCAGGCAACGGAATACAGTTTATAGTAGATACTGTAAGTCGAGTGAGTTTTAACTGTCCAGAGTGTTCTGTTTTCAAGATGTAACACACAACTTAGTTTTTTTTTTTAATGAAATATCGTATATATTTTTACAAGTTGTGATTGATTGTTCGATATTTCAGTATTTTCAAATAGAACACTGTATTTTATTACCGTATTTTATTCTATTTTTTTGTTCCCTCTCTTTTTTCTATATTTAAAGTTGATAGTTACTGCAATTTTTTTACTTTTTTAAGCCATACAACGTATTCAAAGAATGGGAACAAAAAATACAGTAAGATGCAGTAATAAATTACAGAGTGTTACTCTGTATAATAAAATTTAATTTAATTGGTACCACAACAAAGTGCGTACCTTTATGTATCCCCTCACAAAATATTTTAAGACAGACTTTAAAAGTAACCTCATTGCGATTTGTTGAAAATAAACTGTGCTTATAATGCCTAGGAAGAAGCTAATGAGAATACGAAAAAATATATGGGATGTTCTATTAAAAAAAGGTGCGTGTTATTCCTCAAAAACAACATGCACTTTGTTAGATTTATTATGAACTCTCAAGAACTCGTATAAAGTTTTGCACTTGATTTTGATTTTACATTTAATCGATACGAATATTTGTTTTTATGCCATAGTTTCAGTTTTGAAATAGTGAATATTTGGTGCTAAATGTTTCGATGGTTTTATTTCAGTAGTAAACACTTGACCAAACTCATCAAAGGGAAGATAAACTAGGACAATTAAGTTTCTGTGAGTTGTGGTATTCATTATTAGAATCATCATTTTAAGAGATTGTGTTCATTATCTCAGAGCAAGAACTATAGCTGCTGTGGATATCACAACTCAAATTTATAACACACAAAACAAGCTATTTGGCTACATTCCGTCCCCAGAAAATTAATATCGTTTTATGTCGTGCTGTTTCGCCTAGTTTTCAGTTTCAATTTATTTTTTGTAGTTATCTAATCTTTTTCTAACCTAATCTGGCTTTTTCTTTACTGTGTTCCATTTGTATTAGTTTTTTGTCGCCAATAAATATATTTAATTTTATTTTTATATGCACTTGTCGCGTCAAACAGATAATTATAAATAAATTCAGTGGCGCCTCTTAAAATTGTTGATCTTTCAACTACAAACTATGTGCATTCGCACTCAATTCCTGAATTAGACGCAAAACTTTCCACTCGGGTTCTTGCCTAATAACATCACAATTCGGCCAGTCAAAGAACTGTTTCATTGTATATGCTGACTAATCGTTTCTCACCACCATACATTTCTCCCGCTTGACTCACTCCAACACATGTAGTTCTACATCATAATCCAAATACCATAAACAACATTTATGAGATAAGCAACAGTAATAATGGCTAACAACATCATTATACTTAATTCATCCCCGATAATAATAACATAAAACATCGTTAATCCCCGTATATAATGTAGGAAAACTCCTTCAATCAAGTTATATATCCCCTTTGAGGGTTAAATGCATGCAGTAATGTAGTGGTGGTCGGGTTATAAACTTGTTCCTTATCGAACTTGGGACGTTCTTGTCCAATATGCATGGGAAAACTCTTGTTGTAGCGATATTTGCGGAATCCGAGATCGGTACTAAGTTTGCAGAGCCAGAATTGGGGTAGCTTTGGTAGCATGTGGATTTTCACTCGGATTGCGGATTAAGCTCACTCGGAGGGTTTAGCAGAGGGTGGAGAGTCTCGAGCAAGTCCATTAAAACAGATCAAAGACTCTCTAATTGTGTTTCTAATAGCGCAGTCGTTAAAAATAGCTCGTACACACACTTGTTTTTTTAAATCGTATTAGGCCACGAAGCCTCCCTTGGAACTGTTTTTTGGTAATAGCACGTGTAGATCTGTGGCGAAATATAAATAACACAGCAAAAATAGCCGTTGCAAAACATGGCCCGTGGCTAAAATTATCTTGACGTGTCAATAATTCCATAAAGCAACCTGAAAAATGCGATAACTCTCTTACGTAAGGGGGTAACGTCTGCCTAATTTTTCTCGTCGTTATCCAACAAACACGGATAACGTGTGCCGTCTTCTCTGCCCTCCAGCGTGTACTTGATAATCACGCCACCGTTCGTGGTTGCAATTCGGGTCGGTTCGCCACTGACGTCAATCGTCGACCTTAAAACCCCAGCATCTTTTTTCGAGACAACAAGAGGGTCCTCGTCGGCGAGAATCTTCTTAATGAGGCCCAATCCTCTCCCCGTATTTATACCAAGAGGAAAGTGAGCCAGTTCGGGGCGGTTGGTGTCGAAATGAACTCGTTTCCGCCGAGAACATTAGAAAAAATCGTAAACAAATATGTAGGAAAACACAAGATTGAATGTCGATTGACCACCAAGACACGATAAACTGTTGACCCTTTGCGTCCGTGTAAAGACGATCTTTGTCCATTTTCAATTTAAAACCGTAACGCTTTATATTTTATTCAGTGCGTATCACATCGCATTGTAAATAACATCGGAGATTTGTTTACTTTTCGGACGATGTCTTTTTGATAATTGAGTTTGTTTTGCTCCATTTTCTGAATTGTTCGCTATGACCGTAGATGTCGTTTCCTCCTCCGGGAGCATGATAGTGGTGTCCAACCGCTTGCCCTTCGTGCTGCAGAGGAACGCAGAGGGGAAGCTCGTCCGGAAGGCTAGGTAACACCCTTCCAACCCTTTGAACAATAATAAATTGAGTAAATTCAAGTGCTGGGGGCTTGGTGACGGCTGTCGCTCCGGTTGTTATCAACGGCAGCGGACTATGGGTAGGATGGCCCGGATTGCACCTCGCTAACCCGAACGAACCCATCCCGGAGTCGGACCCGGATGACATAACTCCAACAGCCGGTCTGCGATCCGAGAAGGTAAAACTCAATAGCGTCCTCCCCATATTTAACAAAATTTTCAGGTGGTGGCGGTCCAGATAGACCCGGTGGTCTTCGATTCCTACTACAATGGTTGTTGCAACGCCACCTTCTGGCCGTTGTTCCACTCCATGCCGGATCGAGCCACCTTCAAAAGAGAGCACTGGCACAACTACACCACCGCCAATAAAGAATTCGCCAATTGTACAATGAAAGCGTTGACGTCTTTACCGAGGAGGACCGGTAACGATGTCCCTCTAATCTGGATCCACGACTACCACCTAATGCTGGCGGCTAATTGGGTCCGACAAGGAGCAGAAGAAGAAGGTATCATGTGCAAACTGGGATTCTTCCTCCATATCCCGTTCCCACCATGGGACATCTTCCGGCTATTCCCCTGGGGGGACGAAATTCTCCAAGGAATGCTAGCCTGCGACATGGTCGGCTTCCACATCACCGACTACTGCCTCAACTTCGTTGATTGTTGCCAAAGAAACCTAGGTTGTCGCGTCGATAGGAAAAATCTTTTAGTAGAACACGGAGGGAGGTCCGTACGAGTACGACCCCTTCCAATCGGGATTCCGTTTGAACGCTTCGTCGAACTGTCCGAAAAAGCGCCCAAGGTTCTATCCACTAACCAGAAGATAGTTTTGGGGGTGGATCGGTTAGACTACACCAAAGGACTGGTGCATAGATTGTTAGCTTTCGAGAAGTTGCTCGAGAACCACCCCCAGCACAAAGAAAACGTCTCACTTTTGCAGATCTCGGTTCCCTCGCGCACTGACGTTAAAGAATACCAAGAGTTGAAAGAAGAGATGGACCAGTTGGTGGGAAGGATCAACGGGAAGTTTACAACCCCGAACTGGTCACCCATTCGTTACATTTATGGATGTGTGAGTCAAGACGAACTTGCAGCATTTTATAGAGATAGTGCTGTAGGTCTTGTCACGCCTCTGCGTGACGGGATGAATTTAGTAGCCAAAGAGTTTGTAGCGTGCCAAATTAACACACCACCAGGGGTACTGATAGTGTCGCCGTTCGCCGGTGCTGGAGAAACCATGCATGAGGCTTTAATTTGCAACCCATACGAGATCAACGACGCTTCTGAGGTTATCCACCGCGCGTTGACGATGCCAGAGGACGAACGAATCCTCCGCATGAACTACCTGCGACGACGGGAGAAACTGAACGACGTTAACTACTGGACAAAGTCGTTCCTGTCAGCTATGGGTTCGTTGCTAACTCAAGAAGACCACGACGATATTGGTACTACGTCAATGCCCGCAGTCACTCTAGACGATTTCGATGAATACCTAGCCAAGTGAGTACCACTATCGTCCAACAACCCTAATACCTGAGTTACGTTTCAGGTACATTGGAAACACCCACAAGTTGGCGCTTCTACTCGACTACGACGGCACTCTCGCCCCCATCGCTCCTCACCCGGACCTTGCTATAATCCCCCCCGAGACGAAAAACGTCCTCCAAAGACTGTCAAACATATCCGACGTATACATTGCGATTATTTCAGGGCGCAACGTCAATAACGTTAAGCAGATGGTAGGGATTGAGGGTATAACGTACGCCGGGAACCACGGTTTGGAGATCCTCCACCCCGACGGTACCAAGTTCGTTCACCCCATGCCCACTGAGTTCCACGACAGGGTCGGGGAACTACTGCGCCAACTCCAAGAGAGCGTATGCAAAGACGGCGCATGGGTCGAGAATAAAGGGGCCCTTCTGACTTTCCATTTTAGAGAGACTCCGTCGCATTTAAGATCACGCCTGGCTGAAGAAGCCAAGCGTTTGATCGAAGAAGCAGGGTTTAAAGCCGGGAAGGCACATTGTGCGATTGAGGCCAAACCTCCAGTTCAGTGGAACAAGGGTAGGGCTTCTATTTATATCCTGAGGACGGCGTTCGGGGTAGATTGGAGCGAAAGGATCAGGATTATTTATGCAGGGGATGATACGACGGATGAGGACGCTATGCTGGTATGTATTGGTTTGTGTGGGACTGGTGGGGTGAAAGTTTTTTTTTTTTGTAGGCGTTGAAGGGTATGGCTGCCACGTTCAGGGTGACTTCTTCGTCGATTGTGAAAACTTCGGCTGAGCGACGTTTACCATCCACGGATTCGGTGTTGACCATGTTGAAGTGGGTGGAACGACATTTGAGTCGCAGGAAACCCAGCATAGATCCTAGTAACTATCGAAGGAACTCGCTTGCCAAGCAAGGGGCGGTGCAGATGGAGATGTCTTTCATGCGGAGTGGCCAGGCGGAGGAGCACAAAAATGGAAGTGCCACAAGGCTTTCAACTGATTCGACGAACTAATTTAGTAGCAGATTAGGTAGTAATAAATGTAACCCAGAAGACTCGAAATGTACCTACCAGAGATATTTTTTGAATGTGTTAAGACACAATTTTTGTCAATATCGACGTAGAACATACTAGCTGATAGTTTCGTATGTTTTGTACTTTGTATATTTTTTAAGATGCAGTTTTATTTATTTTATTAAAAGTCTCGCTGGATATATGAGAAAACGGCGCATAAGTGCGCTGATCTGTTATTTTATGTAATGAGTGTTTAATAAATTCCTGTAAAGAATGCGATGTTTTATTTAGTCATTCGTGATGATGAGTATCAAGTGACCTGGTTTGTACGTGTGGTACGAAAGTAGAAACCTGTAGTTGTTGGTGACGGGTTTGAGAGTCTGGCACAGAGGTGGCGCGAGGTTTAACTTTCGCACTTACGCAGCTACTTACCAACCTCGAACTGGTTTACATTTTGCGGTTCGTGCTCGCTCGAAAGTTGCAAAGAAAAATGTGCAACTGTGGCAAGTCAGGTGAGTTGGAAATTATTCGAATAAGGTTGAAGCCGGTTAGGAAGTTCGTAAGCGATTTCGAGTGATGGTGAAAGCAATTAATAAAACACGAACCGTTGAAAAGAATAGTTCCCTCCAGCGTAGATGCATTATTTATGAGAATTTTGTTATTATTTAGGAACGTCGTGTGGTTATAATAAGAATTTTAGATGTTTCTAGACTATTTTAGGAAGGCATTTCTTTTTGATGCCATGATTTAATAATATCCGGGCACAAAGAAGTCGCCGAGGGGTGGGATTAGTAATTTTAAAAGAAACGACCGACGTCTTGGTGGTTGTTCGGCTTCGTTAGGCGGCGGATGGCGGGTGACGTTATCCTGGGAAATAATTTACGGTTTTTCTTCATAAGTGAGAAATAATTTAAGGGTTTGGTCCTCTATAAATTCACTTTTTCAATCAGAGAGTCTTTATTTTCAGCGAAATCGGCGAGGAATCTAAAACAAGTCCATAAATCAAAATCCAATCAGAAAAACCAATCAATATGAGGAGAAAGAAAAAACTGTCAGATATCTCATCAGACCCAGACCGGAACATAAAAATATCCAGATTTGGAAAAGGAGAGCGTCAGCCGTTAACTCGATATTCTTATTACGCCCTATCTAGATGCAATATGATAGAGTGGAGTCTTAAAAACCAGCCAGCGGCCTGCCGTAATATCTCTGTCTTTGACAGGCGATCTGTTACGCTGATACAGAGACCGTAGCAATTGTGGAGAAATCAGCGCTTTTGTCTAGTCCCTCCCTTCTTTCCCCGTAATCGTTTCTTAATTTATTTACCGCTTCCCCGCGGGATTTATTAAGATTGCGCAAAGCTACCTGCTTCCTTTCATGTCTAATCAAAAGGCAGATTTCGTTATGCGTATCAAAAGCAGCTTTCATCAGCCGAATTATGCCTTTGATTCTGAAAAATAAACCGGAAGATGTTTCCGGTTTTGTCTCAGACTCGTTCGGACAATTTAATTAGAGGGTCGGGATGTCAGCTCCGGGATTTTTTCCTTTTTCTTCATACGTATCAAAGTGGAAATAAGAAATAAACAGGGAAAGTTAATTAAAGCCGTTAGATAATTTGAAGGGGATGCTCTGGCCACGGAACGACTCTCCCAACTTTCACAGAGAACATTAAATTAGAAAAGCTCAAATCGTTTTGCCAACAAAATGGAACGAGTTGAAAGTTTTCAATGAATGTCTAACGAGGTATTATTCTTCGCCATTTAACCTAATCATCATATCACTTTGTAACACGAAAAGTCTTGGCTTCAACTTCGGAACTGGAGAGGACCCGGACAACTTCTGTTTATTTAATAAGAGCGAGGCGCCGCTCCCCGACGCCTCGCAGGGACTCAATGCAACTATTCGCAATCGATAACGAGCGAAAACAAGAAGAATACTAATAAAAGCTATAATAATACTGACTGTTCTCAGACCTTCCTTACTTCTGCTTTTACGGCTGCATAAAGACTACGAACACTTAAATAGGCGAGCAATTTCATATGATAATGTGATATTAAAACGAAAAACATCAAATGGAACAAGACTTTGTACAACTCGCTAACTTGTTCTCATACAGACTTCAAGCAGTCTCATTATGTACGTAAGCCACTCTCACGGTTGCCAATGGAAAGAAAGATAGACCCGCAGACAGACTCCATCCAAAATATAATAAGAAGGATTCATTCCAGCTCTATTCATGTCGGGACTCTTCATACAGGCGCAACATGGATAAAAATGAACACCAACAATCCGTCGCTTCAAATAATATCACGATAAACCTCATAGCGCTCCTTGATTAAGTAAAAAGACTTGCTACAAATATTCACTTCATAAACATACTGAAAGAACGAGTTGTAGCTAGAACACTTGCTTATTTTTACAGCTTCCGTTGAAGACCCCTGGAGTTACGTTTTCTCCGAACAGAGTGATCCCTGCGGACTTCGTAACCTATCTGAACATAGAACTGTTACAGTGGATTTAACGTATTTAGTACAGGTGAACGAATTGTTGTGGAGCCCCAGAAATGAAATTATTTTCCCCGACTGAGAACCATAAAGTATGTGAAACATTTTTAATTTCCGAATCCCCTCGTGACTCCTGCCTAGCAACACTATTTCCACCCTTCCTGTTATTGTTATCATTCCAACCCCTTCCTCTACCCAATTAAATCAGTATTTTTTCGCCTGACGGAGCAAATTGCGTCCCTATTCGATTCCATAGATCGTCATTACCCGATGCAACGCGGATTTAATGACTGCGAGTCCGCTGTAACAAATTGTTTTTATTATCCTGCACCCGTGTCGGTAGGCGAAATATTCGCTATATTAAAAATTCGAAAGAGCAGGGGTGAGCGTCATATTGTCCGTCGGAATCTCGGCGGTGTATGCAATAAAGAACGCATCTTTGTGTACAGCAGCCCTTGCTGATGGCCAAAAACGCGTTTCGAGCTTGTATACGCCGTCTAAATACCGCCGCCTCACATACCTACCGCTATTCTCGGCAGCCAGCGTGCATAAATTCCGGCCAAAGATACGACATGCCCAAGCTTTTTCCGGAGACGAACCGCTCCGGGCGGAGGCCTTTGTGACAAACATTAAAAATATTTCGGAATTTTCGGTCATTTATCAAACGGGGAACCTTCTACCTAGTACCTGATTTCGGGCGCAGGAATCTCGGGAGGAGGTGACATCGTGGCGCAGCGGTGGCTGCAAAAAACCAACTGTCAAGCTCCTTCGAGTCCGATTAGCAGTTATATGATGGGGGTTCTAGCTCATCTTTGTTATCGGAAAGCGTTATTAAAACGTTATTAAATATTATATTGAAACATTATTAGTCACTTCTGTCAATATTTACGAAACCCAACCTGCACTAATTGCAGCTCCATCAACAACAATCCGCGAGCGCTTCTCGCATTTCCTGCACCTAAATCCCGGCCGTAAAACAACCTCCACAACGCGTGGATTTATGGCTCGCCCTGATTTTTCGCCATCCATATTTAATCGGCCATATCGGCGGTTGCATACATCTTGACAGCCGTATCGAGTGGTTTCCATGAAATTTCGTCCGTGCTGAAATTGCGGCATGCATAATTCCGTCTGCAACAAACTATCGGTCGAATGCGCTCAAACATCCCAGTCATAAATCCTGCTCCGGTCCGGCTCTAATGTTATGCAGACATAATCTGCAGACGCCGTTTACATAATTCTAAATATTTTACGTTGTCAACGCTCCGAAAGAAAGCGGATGACGAGCGGATTAAATTTTAAAGCGAAGTTAAACTCGGAACTATCGGCGGTTAATTAAATTTAATAACGACGCCGACGGAGTGGTCGATAACGAGCTGTTGTCGCTGGCATTTTTGTTTAGTATATTAACTGGATTATTCATTGTAATTGGATTTTGTGCCAATTACGGCGAGGATTAATGCGGTTGCATCCATCATTGCGGCTCCTGGGCAGCGGGTCACGCAGGGGGCTGATGCTGGACCGCTCGTGTTCACGCAATGAGTATTTTGCGTCAGTAAGATAACAATATCTCTTAATATTTAATAAATTCGTTCTGTTTTACGTCGTTCTTACTAATACATAGTTTCTGAAACAACGAACTAAACTCTTAAGGATTACGCGATTCCAGATTGCTCTATTAATAATTAAATTGCAATTCAATCTTGCTTAATTCACTATATAGGAGTCTGTTTGTGTTTGAAATTATCAGAAGGTATTTTATTTAACGAATTCTCTTAGAGTGAGTTTGTTAAAAAAAAATGTTCGACTATATTCACGACTACATAAATTGGCAGCCGGGCTTAATCTAATAATCAGAATTTACATTTAGGGATTTGCATAGCGTATAACTTCATTTTTCAGGAATTAAAATGTGATGCAGCTATCAGAAAAACACATTAAAATACATCTGGTTTGCATTACAATTTTAGTTATGGGGATGGAGTGTTAATAATATTATGTCGACTGATTTTTGTCGTCGCATCCATTTCATAAAAGCACAGAATTGCGAACCTGTGTTTAGAAATTTATTTAAATTGTGTATTAAATTATTGGAAATGGTCCAGACACTGTTAGTTAATTAAACAGATCTTCAAACAAATTCCAACTCAACTGTACACAAATTTTTGTAAAGTAATCATAAACCCTAAGTACGTTATAGATGTAAATAGTATTAACCATGCAAAATTTTGAGGTGACGTCACTAATTTATTGGTGGGGATGACTAAAATGGGAAGTAATCTTTAGTTAATCTGTTAACCTATTAATAATGAGAAATGAATATGTGTTACTCAGTTTGCTGAAATTTATGTTTGAAAAAGAACAAAATAATTTAAGTGATAGTTCCAGACTTAGATTTAAGTGCTCTTGAAGTAGTAATTAGTGACTTAATAATTAAATTAATAAATTATATCTTTAGTTATTTCGCTCAATATGTGGATATTTGAGAGGTGAAATAAAATAATTGACCAATTTCCGGAAATGTTTGAAAAACTTGTTTACCTGCATTGAAAATAATTATTCTTCGTTATTTGAAGAAATAAATCAAAAACAAGCACAAATTCGTAATACCTGTGAAAATTCCCTAGAAGAGAAACCTTTTTTCAACGATTTTGCCAATTTCGAATTTTGTATAAAAATGGTGGAGGCGCTGGGACTATTACAAATTTAATAGTTATTTAAGTGGCAAGCTTAGTAAATTAGCCTTTACGGGCGAGCCGGAACGTTTGCA